TCAGCCTCCCAAATAGCTGGGAGTACAGGCTTGAGCTACTTGCCTGGCTACTATACCCTGTTGTATAGATGGAGAAACTGAGTACCAGAGAAAAGATAAGCAGCTTGTCCAGGATCACACAACTCCCAAGTAGTGCAATGGACTTCAGACTTGGCGTTGGTCTGACTATAAGCACACACTTTGAGCCTACAACCACACACTGTGCTGCTGCTATCTCCCTGTGTTGATGGCAGTTTTCCCATCTCTGAGCCTCAGTTTTCACACTTTTAAAATGAAAGTGTCAATCTGTATGTTAGCCTATTTTGTGCTGCTCTAACAGAATACCTGAGACTGCATAATTTATAATGAACAGAAATTTATTGGCTCATGGTTCTGGAGGCTAGGAAGTTCAAGAGCAAGGCCTTGGCATCTCCTGATGGCCTTCTTGCTGCATCTTTCCATGGTGGAAGGTGAGAAGGGCAGAGAGAGACAGACGGGAGGGGCAGGACACCGAACTTACCCTTTTATAATAAGCACACTCCTCCATAGTGGCATTAATCCATTCTTGAGGGCAGCCTCATGGCCTAATTGCCTCTCATTAGGCCCCACCTCTCATCACTGTTGCATTGGGGTGAAGTTTCCAATGCTTGCTTTTTGAAGGACACATTTAAACCATAGCAGTCTATTACTGAGATTTGTTTTGTTTTTTTGAGACAGAGTCTCCCTCAGTCGCCCAGGCTGGAGTGCAGTGGTGCGATCTGGGCTCATTGCAACCTCTGTCTCCCGGGTTCAAGCAGTTCCCCTGCCTCAGCCTTCCAAATAGCTGGGATTACAGGCGCACGTCACCATGCCTGGCTAATTTTTGTATTTTTAGTAGAGATGGGGTTTCACCATGTTGGCCAGGTTGGTCTCAAACTCCGGACCTCAGGTTATCTGCCTGCCATGGCCTCCCAAAGTGCTGGGATTATAGGCATGAGCCACCATGTCCAGCCTATTCCTGAGATCTTTGCAACATCGAGACATAAAACTATATAAGGTCCTGGCCAGGCACAGTGGCTCACGCTTGTAATCCCAAACACTTTGGGAAGCCGAGGCGGGGGGATCACCCAAGGTCAGGAATTTGAGAACAGCCCGGCCAATGTGGTGAAACCCTGTCTGTACTAAAAATGCAAAAATTAGTTGGGCGTGGTGGCAGGTACCTGTAATCCCAGCTACTCAGGAAACTGAGGGAAGAGAATTGCTTGAACCCAGGAGGTGGAGATTGGCAGTGAGCTGAGATCATGCCCACTGCACTCCAGCCTGTATGACAGAATGAGACTCCTTCTCAAAAAAAAAAAAAAAAAAAAAAAAAAGCTATATAAAGTCCTGATGCCTGGTTCATTGTCTACTAACTCTTCAGTTTAGTCTTCATTCCATAGATTTTTACCAGCCACTGTCACAGTGAGATGCTATTAGACTTCAGACATGTGGACCTGGTCTGGAGGATGGTCTGTGTTCACCTGATAGCTCCATACTTCAAGGCCACTTGTGATAAGTACCCAGTCTTTAGCTGTAAACCTTTCCTCTCGTTCCACAACACCAAAGGAAATCATATGTGTTTGATTCATTGTAAATGGAACCATACATTTGTGCTTAGGGAGCAGGAATTCCAGTGCTTTCATCAAGATGGAAGTAGTGCCTGTGAAGTAGAGCCAATATGGATTGAAATAAATATTCAGTTTTATTTTTTTCCCTACTGCCTCTGTAATTGCAGAAAAAGAAATAATCAGTTTTATCAGCTAATACTGATTTAAATAAATAGTCACAAATGATTCTGATATGAACAGAATCATTTTGGAGTGGAGGCTATGTGGGGCACATGTAACCCCTATACATTATCACCTAGAGAGTTTGGTTCACTTTCTATCTCTACCTTAGAGTAAGACACAAGTCTCCAAGGACCTACATGTTATCACCTGTGAGATAAGGATACTATCCTACTAAAACACTTAAGTAACAGAATTTATATTGTAAAATATAAAGCTTTAAACAAATGTTTGGTATCATTATGCTGCTGAAAATACAATGTTCCAGTGGTGTCCTCTGTCCATTTTATACCCCCAATGATACTTATCTATTTACTAGAATGCATCTGAGATGCCAAGCTCAGGAGATTCTTGGAGTCCTGCTCTGTGTGCCCTTCTGCTAGGTGGCCCTATACTCAGAAGCATTCTTAGGTGCTTGTCTACACTTCCTTCCCCTTTCTGGTTAGGGTCCCTGCCTGCCTCTGGAGCCTCCTCTCTAAGAGGTGGGAGTGGAGCTGATGTCAGCAGGGAAGGGGGGCTTATTGCTCTCAGTGATGCTTATTATTTTATTTACATTCTTAATGGTTTGAGTTTTTGTTTTTTTAAGAGATGGGGTCTTGCTTTGTTGCCTGGCTGGACTTGAACTCCTGGGCCCCATTGTGCCTTACTTGTTTTATTTTTCAAATTTTTTATTTTGTAAATGTACCTTTTAGAAATTAATCTTTAAAAAATATGTGTGTGTGTGTATCTATGAACAATGAAGAATCTGCTGGTCATCTCTGTCCCCATCCACCCAGCTCCCTCTTCCTCCTTACAAGTAAATCACTGTTGTAAATTTCTTGTATATTATTCCTGCATTTCTTTATGCAAATACAAATAAATATGAGTATTCTTCTTATTCTCCTCCTCCCCCCCAAAAAAGGATACCATACATACACTGTTCTTTCTGTCTTTTTTTTTTTTTTGCTTGACAGTATAGCCTTGCTTTTGTGCGGACTAGACCATCTAAAATTTTGTGTACTCATAATGACTTGATAGCATAAAGACTTTCAAATCTCCATCAGCTGACATAATTAATTTTCAATGAGTATACCTTTGGCAAGTCTTCTTAGGCTTATTTGTGTGATTTTAAATGCTTCCTGCCTAGCTCTATAAAGGAAAACCTGGCACCATCTTCAGAAGTTTCAGAGCTAATGAAGTATCTCATGTTTCGGCCTTTGTGTGTACAGAATAAATGTTTTTCTCAGTACACTTACCCATTGTGGTGTTCTCAGTTTATGAGCCCTTGCTATAATTTTCAAAGCTTCCTTTTATCATTTGTCTTCCTTCTTCCAGATAAACCAACTACTAGGAACTTTTAGTTGTTGATCATTAAATTCTGTCAAAACTGCCTGTTTGTTTTTTGTGGTCAGTATTTTAATCTCCCTTATTTACAATCCTGCCAGACTTCCCCACCTTCCCCTGCTCTCCAGAAAAATAAAATCCAACTCAAACAATTACTTAGCAAACCACCCTTACAGAGTGAAGTTAAAAAAAAAATTTTTGTTTCAGTAAAAAGATTTCAAAAGATCTCTTGACTTCAACAAAACTGTAGTTAAAAAATAAAAATACTCTAGTAGTAATTGAAGGGTAGAAATAGTATAATGAGGGAGCAGAAATAGAGAAAGCAGCTGACATTGCCAGAAGAGAAGTAGAGTTCTGCTTTTTCCCACATATAGTTGTTTAGGACATGTGACTCAGAATATGCGAATTAGTGTAGTAACTACAGCAGTCTCTTGGGTTGTGTTAGTTATTTGCTCAATTGTGAGATAGCATATGTATAAACTTATTCCTCCCAGACTTCTCTCCTGAAATCTTAACTGCAGTCTGCTTTGTGGAATTTCTTCTTAAGAGACCTTGTATACCAATTGTTACTTGTTCATGGGCCATCTGAAGATTCTGGATGTTATTTTATTTTTTGAGACAGAGTCTTCCTCTGACCCCCAGGCTGGAGTGCCATAGCACAATCTTGGCTCACTGCAACCTCCACCTTCCAGGTTCAAGTGATTCTCCTGTCTTAGCCTCCCAAATAGCTGGGACTACAGGCACCCGCCACTACACCCAGCTAATTGTTTTTGTGTTTTTAGTAGAGAAGGGATTTCACCAAGTTGGGCAGTCTGGTCTCAAACTCTTGACCTCAGGTGATCTGCCCGCCTCAGCCTCCCAGAGTGCTGGGGTTACAGGCGTGAGAGCCTCTGTGTCCAGCTTGGAAGTTATTTTAAATAGTTTTTTTCTTGGGGGGTGGGGGATGAAAGCAAATTTTGTTAAGAGTTAGTAATGCTGAATGATTTTGTGTTCCTTTATCATTTATTCGTTTACCAAATACTTATTGAGGCCTGTTCTGTGCTAAATAGGGGGGAGATGGTACTGAATTAGACAGAAGAGCCCCAGTATGCCTGCTAGCTCTTTCCATGTTTAGATTTTGATTTCTCGTGATATAATACAGTAGATGAGCCTGGCATTGAGAGTGAGTAGTCTTGGATTTAGGTTCTGAGACGGCCATTTATTTATTGTGAGACCTCTGGTACTTAAAACTCTGAGCCAGCACACCTGTAATCCCAATACTTTGGGAAGCTGAGGTGGGTTGATTGCTTGAGCCCAGGAGTTCAAGACCAGCCCGGGCAAATTGGCAAAACCCCATCTCTACAAAAAATACAATAATTATCTGTGCATGGTGGCATGCCCCTGTAGTCCCAGCTACTTGGGAGGCTGAGATGGGAGGATCACTTGAGCTCAGGAGGTGGAGGTTGCAGTGAGCCAAGATCATGCCCCTGCACTCCAGCCTGGATGACAGAGCAAGACCCTGTCTGAAAAAGAAAGAAATTTTTAAAAAGCACAAAAATCCGGAGTCCGTCTTTCATCTGCATATGGAGGAATCTTGCAGGGTGGTTGGAATTAGCTAGTATATGTGAGTACATTGTTCTCTGCAGTGGTCTTTATAGTGTCTTACAAAATTCATGATCACTTTTCTGGATCCCTTGCATTTTCTAGCTGCATTTTCCTCAACTGGGCTTGGGAAATACTAGGTTTGGAATTTGGGATGGGGAGCTGTTGCTACTTTACAGGGGAGTTAGCTCCATGCGTGTTGAAGCATTACGAGAGTGTGAGCGGAACCAGCCTCTGATTCTTGGCTCAGTGCTGACCCTTGGACTGGAGAGTCCAGTCGTCAGCAAGAACACAGTTTAATGAGAAGCAATTAAGAGTACAGTCTCCAAACCATAGTTTTAATTTCAAATTTCAATTTCTTGCTTCTCCACTTGCTGCCTACTCAAACTTAAGCAAGTAATTGGAATATCTCTCATAATGTGCCCTAGGATTAATTAATGCTGTAGTTAAAAGAAAAACAACATCAGCTATATGATCGTATAAAAGACTTAATAAAATGTAGATTTAGGCTGGGAAGCCGTTAACTAACCATTCGTCATTAAAGAGGGAGGAAGCAAGAGGACCCACTTGGGTAGGCTGGGACACATTGCTGTGGTTCACTTCTGCTTTTTGCTTTTGCTTCTAATTGGAGACGTCTAATCTGAGACATCCTGATTGTCAGAGGGAATGTGGAGTGGAGGGAAGAGGAGGCGCTCTGGAGCCAGGCAGCCTGAGTTCAGATTCCAGCAACCCCATTTCTGGCTGCTTAACTGTGTTGTGTCTTACCTGCAGAAAAAATGAGTTAGTACACACATAGTAAGCAGTGATAACTTTAGCTGTGATTATTTCAAAGGGGTCTTTTGAGCAGCTGCTTCTTCAAGAGAACATCCGGAGACACAGGAATAGAAATGATCCGATCAAAGTAATTAAAGGCTTTTTGATTGCTCTGAGCTCTGAGGTCAGGGCACTTTCAGTCAGCCTGAAGCTGTGAAGAAGAACCTTCAACATAAGGTGGGTGTCCTCTCTTAGGGTAGTGGAGAACTACATCATTAGGCTAGTAATGTAAGCAATGAGTTACTTATGTATTATGTTATGGTTTAACTTACTGTGGTCGTGCTGTTTTATTTGGGAGATAGCGCAAGATGTTGGGCTCCCTTCTGCCAGTAGATAACAGGGTTTCCTTTTCATTGGCTTGTGCTGCAGCCTTCCAGTATTGCAGGTTTCCAAGTGTTTGTAGTGAATTTCTGGCCAGGGCATCCATGTCTCTTCTGCTGAAGGTGCTGGCCAGGGTGTGTGCTGACTGCTGCGCTGCTCCCAGGCCATTACCTGGATTTAGTCATCAGTGTTGGAGCCCCCAAGTCTGTTTACAATCTTGTTACTCTTCCCAGCGAAGTCTCCACCTTCTGTTTCACTGCGTATTTCTTGACACAGTTTTATTTTGGTTGCAGACCTCTTGGAGCCCTTTGTCCCAGGGAAGTGAGATGTCCCTTGTAGTAGATACCTTACTTCAAGAACAGACGAGTCTCAGCTGAGCTCCTGCTATGTCTGAAACACTCTCCCAGGGCACTTGTACAAAAATGAGCTAGAAATGTATTGCCCCTGTATTTCAGAGGCCCACAGACCAGTGAGGGAGCAAGCATGGATCCAGATAATTTAGACGCCTATAATTTGGTCCTTTCAATTTAGTTTGAAAGTGGCCATGGGAGAGGCAGGAACGGTGTCTCTTGACACACAGGAGGCCAGTTGCTAGGCTTGGGGTGTGGGGAACCTTCACAGAGCAGGAAGCATTTGAGTTGGATATTGAGAGTGAGTGGGGCCTGAAAGGTTTAGAATAGAGAGAATAGTTAAATTAGGTCATTAAAGATTTGTGGAACACCTGCTGGGTGCCAGAAACTGGGTGTAAAATCAGAGGAAGTTTGACTGCACTCACTTTGCTGTCTCTTCTGTGCTATTCCTTAATGCTCAGTAGATGTTTTCACCAGGTGACTGCTGCGTTCCCCAAGCCACCTGGCAGACACGTTTTGCCTCTGAAATCATCTCTGTGAAGCTTCCTGACAGCCCCTCTGTGTGAGTTTCCCAGGGCCGCTGTAACAAAGTGCCACAGACCAAACCAGGGGCTTAAACAACAGAAATGTGTCATCTCACAGCTCTGGAGGCCAGAAGTCTAAGTTCATGGTGTGGGCAGGGCTGGTTCTTCCTGAGGCCATGAGGGAGAATGGGCCCCATCCTCTAGCTGCTCCTTGTGGTATTCAGCAGTCCTTGGCGTTCCTTGGCTTGAGGAAGCACAGCCTCAACCTCTGTTTTCATCTATACTTAGTTATCCCTGTGTGTGTCTCTTTGTCCACATTTTCCATTTTATAAGGACATTAGTCATTTTGGTTTAGTCCACCTTGTGGACCCCATCTTAATTAATTACATCTATAGCGACTGTATTTCCAAATAAGGTCATATTCTGAGGAACTGGGGGTTAGGGCTTCAACATGTGAATTTTGGGGAGTGGACACAATTCAAGTCATAACATCCTCCGTCTGTTCTTTCTACCTCCCATGCATGGACACTTTCTGCCTGCTGATACACTGTAAGTAGAGTTCTGTCATGCACTAAGAGCATTTTGTCTGTCAACTCCTACTCTTTGTATTTTTTAATCTCTGGTGCCTTGTGTGTAATGTGGAAAGTGTCTCCAGTGCAAATTTATTATGCATCAGGAGTTAGTAGAAATAAGGGAAGATATTGCAGGGGTCACTTCTCTTTTTGGTTTCCTATTGACAATTCCAAAAGCTCTCTGGAGTTGGGTGCCAGGTGGCCATGGACACTACCAGGGGATACCACTTTCATTATCTCCTGACTTTTTTTCTATGGAGCAGTAATTCATTATTAGCTGACAATCATTGTGCTTTCTGAGGAATGTTTTAAGAGTGTTAGAAATCTGACAAGATCCTTTGGGTCGTCTAGCAAGCATTTGTACAGAGGCTTTCTTTAATGGGTCCCTTCTTCCTTGTTTCAGCCTTAGGTTTTCGTGTTCCAGCTTTAGGGTTTCAAAAGTAAATCATGTGAATGCTAGGAGTAGTTACCCATTAGCAAAGATGTCTGTGCCAGAAGGGAGATGCTAAGAAATAATTGAATCTGTCCAAAAGTTTCAGAATGACCTCATTATATATTTTAGAGAAGCAAAAATTTGTCTGGTTTCTGACCTGAGGTTTAGTTACACATTAATAAGGATGGATCATCCTGGGGCTGCAGTACTTCTGCTAAGAAAGAATATTCCAGCATACTCTTTGTTATTTCCGGGTCAGTAAGTAATGTGCTAGGCAGATTGATGTCTTCTGGGACATTAGAAAAGGGATGTTAATTGGACTAAATAGTGCTATCCGGTCAGGATTTTCTTCAATGCCATTTAGCACACCAGCTGTCCTTTGTACAGCTAGCCAAAATTTGTATAATGCAACGGGGTACTTTTTTACAGTTTTCACACTTTAGATGTCACATGAGGGGTTCTTCACTGGTCTCCTGGAACCCGGTCTAGCAAAATTAGAGGAAAGGCTCTAAGGAGATTTGTCTCTGTTAAGAGAAAAAATTAACATTTTCCGGCTAAATAGTTGAATCTACTAAAGATAACAAATAATGTCTACTATCTCAACCCTCCAAAGATTGAAAAGTGTTAGGATTGTCATTTGTGGTTTTTGTAGGGTAGTTGAATAAAAACTGGGCAGCTAAAATTTTCAGTTCTGTGTGCCTCCTAAACAAAAACCTAAATAAGTAGTTTGTGAATTGACTGCAGACAAAATAGAAACTGCTGCATGCTGTTTTTTTGTAAGCAAATGACATTTTCTTTTCTTTTTTCTTTTTTCTTTTTTGAGATGGAGTCTCGTCTGTTGCCCAGGCTGGAGTGCAGTGGTGCAGTCTCAGCTCACTGCAACCTCTGCCACCCAGGTTCAAGTGATTCTCCTGCCTCAGCCTCCCGAGTAGCTGGGACTACAGGAGCATGCCACTACACCCAGCTAATTTTTTGTATTTTTAGTAGAGATAGGGTTTCACTGTGTTAGCCAGGATAGTCTTGATCTCCTGACCTTGTGATCCTCCCGCCTCGGCCTCCCAAAGTGCTGGGATTACAGGTGTGAACCATCGCGCCTGCCGTGCCTGGCCCAGATGACATTTTCTAACCATGCACATGCCATCCAATTTTCCTGTCCTTATACCATTTTCTTGTTCCTTATACCATTGTATAAGGTAACAAAACTGAAGGGGGAAGATGATGGTTAAAAACACTGAACTACTTTTATCTCATTTGAGATAATTGGTTTAAGTGTCTTGACTTTTTTTTTTTTAAGGTGGAGTTTTGCACTTGTTGCCCAGGCTGGAGTACAATGGCATGATCTCGGCTCACCGCAATTTCCGCCTCCTCGGTTCAAGCAATTATGGTGCCTCAGACTCCCGAATAGCTGGGATTTCAGGCATGTGTCACCACGTCTGGCTAATTTTTGCATTATTAGTAGAGACGGGGTTTCTCTATGTTGGTCAGGCTGGTCTCGAACTCTTGACTTCAGGTGATCTGCTCGCCTCAGCCTCCCAAAGTGTTGGGATTATAGGCATGAGCCACTGCACCTGGCCTAGCATCTTGACTTTTTATATTTGGAAACATTAAATAAAAATGGAAATAATTTTTTTAAAAAGGGATGTTAATGTTAAGATAGCTGTTCACCCTGATCTCAGTAGTATCAGCCTGAAAAAGCATGCTGAAATATCTTTATCTGAAGGCAGGCAGAGACCAGCTTATGTAAAGTCTGGAGGTACTTTCTTCTGAGAATAAGAAGGATCATGAAGCGTTTCAAACACACAAAATAGTGCGGTGCAATGACCTAACCTCCTGCTCTAACCTTCATCCAGCGTCAGTGGTCAGTTCATGGCTAGACTTGCATAACCTCATTTCCCCTTCCCCTTCCCCCCATCCAACAGACCCAGTGGCCCGGGGCCTCTCCTGGCCCCTAGGAATTCACAGCCTAGGGAGAGACCCCCACAGAGGCAGACCGTCCCCTCACAGTGACAGTCACTTGCCCATTGGATACCAGCAGCTAGAGAGGGACCTTGTCATCTCCACCCCCAAGCCCAGTGTTCAGCCCAGGCCCTACCACAGGACGAGGGGCCCCACCACAGGACGAGGGAGCTCCGCCAATGTTTTGGGCACATACAAGTTTTAGGTACATTTCAGATGTCATTTTATCCAGAAACATTTTTGTATCTAATGTAATCATTATAATGCTACACCTAAAATGTAAAACTAATTTCTTAATACCATCAAAATCCAGCTAGTGTTCAAATATTTTGTTGTCTCAAATGTCACTTTTAGATTTTTATTTTATAGTTTGTTTTAGTCAGGATCATGTGAAGGTCCACATATTAGTTCTCAGATTTTAAGCTGAGTGCATGACATGATCTGACTTACATTTATTTATTTATTTATTTTGAGATGTCACTATTTTGTCACCAAGGCTGGAGTGCAATGTCTGCTCACTGCAACCTCTGCCTCCTGGGTTCACACGATTCTCCTGCCTCAGCCTCTGGAGTAGCTGGGATTACAGGTGCACACCACCACACCTGGCTGATTTTTTGTAGTGTTAGTAAAGACGGGGTTTCACCATGTTGGCCAAACTGGTCTAGAATTCCTGACCTCGTGATCCACCTGCCTCAGCCTCTCAAAGTGCTGGGATTACTGGCGTGAGCCATTGTGCCTGGCCCTGACTTACATTTTAAAACTCTCTATGGCTGAATTTTAGGGAATGGATTGCTGTGGGAATTGTTAAGAAGCTGGAAGTAGAGAAACGAATTAGGAGGCTGTTGAGTGTCCGGGAGGTGAGTGATGATAACCTGGATTTGAGTGACAGGTAGGGAATGGGAGATGTGGAGGAAGTAGATATCACACGGGCAGGCCATGCTTGTTTGTCGAAGTTCATCTAGACTGTTTTTTTCTGTTGTGTGTGTTTATTTGAAAATATTATTCCCAAAGATTTCATTAATTTAGCTATCAACATATTGTTGATGGTGAAATCTTAAAATTTATTGCATAAGTATAATTATAGCAATATTACAGAATATTGAGATAAATGTTCATCCATACTTTAATCAACTTACTCAAATTTATTCCAGCTTATTTGCCATTATATCATCTTGCCAGTGTATAATTATAATGTAGCATTACATAATAGAATAAGATACATAGTTTTCTACTTAATATGTTTTTTTTTTTTTTTTTTGAGACGGAGTTTCGCTCTTGTTACCCAGGCTGGAGTGCAATGGCGCGATCTCGGCTCACCGCAACCTCCGCCTCCTGGGTTCAGGCAATTCTCCTGCCTCAGCCTCCTGAGTAGCTGGGATTACAGGCACGCACCACCATGCCCAGCTAATTTTTTGTATTTTTAGTAGAGACGGTGTTTCACCATGTTGACCAGGATGGTCTCGATCTCTTGACCTCGTGATCCACCCGCCTCGGCCTCCCAAAGTGCTGGGATTACAGGCTTGAGCCACCGCGCCCGGCCTTCTACTTAATATGTTTTATAATCTTTATCTATATTATGCTAAAGAGTCTCCATAGTTACATGATACTGTATTGAGCAGATTTTAATGTTTATGTCACATTTATTTATTTGAGACAGGGTCTTGCTCTGTCCCCCAGGCTGGAGTGTAGTGGTGCCATCATGTCTCTCTGCATCTTTGACCTCTCAGCTCAAGTGATCCTCACATCTCAGCCTCCTGAGTAGCTGGGACTACAGGTGCACGCCATCTTTCCTGGCTCTTTTGACTTTTTTGTTGAGATGCAATCTTTACTATGTAAGCTAGACAGCTTAGAACTCCTGGGCTCAAGTGATCCTCCTGCCTCGGCCTTTCAAAGTGCTGGTATTAAATACATGCATGCGCCACCACACCTGGCCTGTTCCTACTTTTAAAGTTATTTTATTTTAAATTGGTTTAAATTTATTTTAAGATACTCTTAAAAAATGTTCCAGAAGTTATTTTGCATGTTTCTCTCTCTTTTTTTTTAAACTTTTTGATTCAATAATAATAATTTTTGATTAAATAATAATGTTTTTTGTTTGTTTTGAGACGGAGTCTCGCTCTGTTGCCCAGGCTGGAATGCAGTGGAACGATTTAGCTCATTGCAACCTTTGCCTCTCTGGTTCAAGTGATTCTTGTGCGTCAGCCTCCCGATTAGCTGGGAGTACAGGCATGCACCCCTACACCCAGCTGATTTTGGTATTTTTAGTGCAGACAGGGTTTCACCATGTTGCCCAGCCTGGTCTCAAACTCCTGAGCTCAGGCATCCACTTGCCTTGGGCTGCCAAAGTGCTAGGATTACAGACATGCGCCACCATATCCAGCAAATAATAACTTCTTAATTGACAAAAAGGAAGTACAGGTTTGTACTTAAATGTAGAATTTTGCTTAATCTTGATTATTGGGCTCA